TAATAAACGCGTTGAATTTCCGACAACCTACCGCATCTACTATGAAATCATACGTCGGAAACTACACGTGTCACCCACAGGGTCCTGACGGTCTAAGTAGGGCTGATAAGATCTAGCAGAACAAATAGATAATTTCTCACACAGATATTCGTTTACTGTCTGAAATACTTCTTTAAAATGATAGTGTTTCACGTGTGCCATTTCACTTTTGTAACTTTACCTCGAACGACGTAGTGCACCGCAACATTGTATGCATGACGGACGTCACAAAAATCACGTAACAAAGTATTCAATTTCGATTGGCTGTTACAATATCACGTGATTAAGATTAAAATGTCAGTCAGCCATTGGTCAAGATAAAGAATTGATAAAAAAATGTGTAGTGCGTGTTCTGGTAGTAGAACAACTCCTGAAAAATCGCCGTGCACGGTGAGGTGATGTACGACGCAATTGAAGCCCTTCTGTGAAAGATGTACCATTTACGTATACACGCCAATACCCATGGGAAGGAGGTTATGTCACACACGTTAAGATCTCGATCAAAACTCGTATATCTCACGCGACTTTGTGTATGCACGAGATTCTCGCGTCACACGGCAGGCTATCCCTCGTATCGATATCTTACTTACTTTCGATGTTGGTTCTACTGAATCCATCTTTCGACATATATTGGGCTTGGTAAAAGTATTCTGTTGAAAAATCAAACACTCCAGCTAAATATCATGATGATGGTAAACACGTAAATTTATGTAAATAATAAATATTCCAAAATGTGCATATGCGGTTTGGCTGTATCGTATACATGTATTTCGATTGACGTTCGTAATAACTATGAATGCTTTTAAAGCAAAGCAAATAGTATTGGGTATACTTCCATCCATAACTCGATTTCCAGTCATAATTGCGCTGAAACCACCTGCTAAGATTGAACCGTAGTCACGCAACTACTTACTATGGTTAACAAAATGCATAATTCTCAATCACAACACAGCTTCCAGCATATATTGAAATTATTGTCATAGCTATTCAAAAATAGATTTATTGGGGTTAAGAAAACGGTAGTTTAGCCATATCACCGTCGATGACGACTTGTATGCAGTAGTCATTAACTTTTTGTAAAGTTGAGTAATTTACGTATGCAATTCCACGTGGCTGTTAAATGTTATAGTCAACAATGAAACACACACATACAAATTTAGGATAATTCTTACCGATCGCAGTATTGCTATTCCGTCCCTGCCGCTGTCAAATACAATCACAGCCTCGTAAAAACACGGAGTCCCTTACTAAGTTGTCGTTGCGTTGCGAAGCTGTGCTACTGTTTGTGTTTACATTTTGAGTTGCCACGGAGCTACGGAGTATACGCCGTATCATATACGTGGGTCTAGTCACCTGCGAAGAGTTAGATATGGCCTGGCATTGTACGAGGCGATACTGTTACGATACGCCTTTGAACAAAATTAAAACAACCCGCTATCGAATTGCAAGCGTAAACATCGTGTTTTTATTGTAACAATTACCACGCACACAGATCATATTATTTTTGCTTTACGATTGCTCCGTTTTTCTTCAGCAATCCTCGGGGGCGGAGCTACGTCACAAGACGTTCCACGTTGCTACGACGCGCACCACTGTACATGCGTTTCTATGGGCTCTGTGCGCGCTGCTGTGGAAAGCCAGTCGAGCCGGTGAAAATTCGAGAAAACAACACAAACTCAACTTTGAAGTAATCCCGAACAACCAAATTTATATATGTTACACACGTAGGGCTAATCTTGTTACACTGTTCAGAGGAGTCTCAACAGTCATCCCAAAGTACCGTTTTCTGCGAGTTTTGGGCCTTTGTTTTCACCGCCGCGGGTTGCCAGGCGGTAAAAATGCCCGGATGTCCGCGCCCGAGGATACTCTCTAATTTGAATGTCACCTCTTTCGTCCAACTTAATTCGATAATCTTATGAAATCTAGTTGGCTCATATTACGGATTGTAAATGTTGATAAAATGCCTAATGTATAGCCGGCGACACTAGCTACCGATATTCGGATGCTATTGTAAGTCGTTCTGCATGCACTCGTAAACATAACGATGTAATTTGAATATTGTTATTCAATTGCCCCAATTGCGCCGAGAAGTGGTACTTGGTTTGAGAGTATAGTTGGCAGTTTTTACCAAATGCGCCGCCAATTCTACAAAATAAAGGAGGGGATTTGTTGTACATTCAACATCAATTTATGGCACGTCAAGCAAAATTATGTCGTAGATGGCGCTCTTCACGTAACATCGCCGTTCGTCGTCTTTTCCAAATTTACGCCTGTACGTGATAGGAGATAATGCGAAAGTGATTAAGATATCAGCGGTAAAATTGTAAATCATCCCCCAAAGTTGTATGAATATGTGTGTGTATGTGTTTCCATTGGTCAAGGGGTTCCTTTCAACATATTCAGAAATGTAAGGATTCGTGATAGTTTTGCGCTGTGTTGATATAATGTGTAATATGTGATATTGATAGATTACTTTTACCAGTTTTAACTAGTGTATATTAATAAACAAGTGTTTTACTGCCTCGTGTACCCGTCTATAAATGATACAAGTGATTCACTGGAATGTGAGGGAGAGGGGGGCGAGTAAAATACGTGGTTATAAAATATATTGAATTTGATGCCGGAGTCTCTTAACGCGGAAACTATTTGAATGTTACAGATATATATCTGTTATTTGGAGTATGTCTATTATAACTCGTTTTTTAACATGATAAAATCGGGCGAGCTGTAAATCGCACGACGTTCAAATATATTTATGCAATATTGACACCGGACCAGGATCACAGTTCGAGGTACCAGTACGTAGTTAACAACAACAGTGCCACCAATTCTGGTCTTGTCGATACTTTTGTTTCAAAACAGACACCAGTTTACCTTTTCCTGCCATTTGACTACATATCGCCGATACAAATTTTTTAAAAATATTTTCATATTTACTGCGTTTATATGACAGCATCTTATCGGAGCCCTATGGCTCGGGCCAGCAAAAATGGTCATGTATACGCATTCAGTTCGGCTCCAATAAACCCTCGGGGCTGAGATTGAGCCCGGTATTGCAACGATCGAGGTCGAAATCCCACCAATGACTACTACCCGCTCGTTGGATTTAAATTCAGAATACTAAAAATGTTCTGAGGTTCATATTGAATTATACCTGTGATTCTGGTTTTCATAGACTTTGAATAGCCGTCAAAGGTTCAATTAATTTATATAATTATATATATATATATATATATATACGTAATATTACCCTATTGACCTTGATTTGAATGGGATATTTTAATTTAAACAACAATGACGTGACATACTGCCACAAAATATATTTCAACACAAATACGGTATGATTGTCTTATTCGCTAAGTACATCGGTGTTATTTCTGGGTTTACTTTCGCGATGTGTTCACGATTTGTTTAATTATTGTTGTATTTTCCAATGATAAGACAATGACCATGGAGCTAAATAAACGGAAGAGTGAAAGAAAATATTTCTAAGCCTAAAATAAAACCTATCCGTGATTACACTAACATTGTTTGTTAATTTTGTTTGTTTGGCAAGACAGTATGTTTGTAAATATCTAGAAAAATCTCGTATTTCGATAATAATTTCGATTGTTTGAAATGTCTATCCACTGTGTCCCGGTAATAATTTGTTTGGAATGTCGACTACCGTTGGTTTCCCCATACTGTGTTTAGGAGGGCGTAGGTACGTCTGTTATTCCACACAATGATCAGGACAAACATTGACCGTAATCATTGGGGATCACTTCACTTATTTGAGGGCTGAAAACCCAAATAATTAAGTACAATTTATTATATTTTTTTTTTCATTTTTCATTACGAATCTACAGATGAGCTAGACTTGTCCTGGTGAAACAGTCGTCTTGAAAACGGTGCACTGGTCAACTTCAACTATCCATTTCTTACATTAAACAAAATAATAATTCGAAGAGCGTAAGAGAGTATATTCTTACCAATCGCTAGCTTTATTTTATTCTAACCTGTAAAATTCGCGAGTTTCGGAAAAGAATGTGGGTGTGGTTGTCTTGTGGCGCACATTTCTGTGTTGTAACAAAGTGTATTGAATGGTTGTCGAACATGTACCATGTATCCGGCCAATTTTAGAGTAAAGCCACATCAACATTTTCTTCGTTTCTCTGCTCTCTGTCCAAAGGAGTTAACATTGCATTTTTAGGTTACTATCTCGATAATTATTATTGAAAGGAACGAGCGGTTCTAGAACAAACGGAACACAGTCCCGCTCCATCAGCACGTTGTGGAAAACAGTCCCGCTCCATCAGCACGTTGTCGAACACAGTCCCGCTCCATCAGCACGTTGTGGAACACAGTCCCGCTCCATCAGCACGTTGTGGAACACAGTCCCGCTCCATCAGCACGTTGTGGAACACAGTCCCGCTCCATCAGCACGTTGTGAAACACAGTCCCGCTCCATCAGCTCGTTGTGGAACACGCTCAATTAACATTGCGCATGCATGCTAAATTAACTTTTTTTTCTACTAAACTGTTTGTTTTTCTTATCTTATACAGTCACGCTTCCATCCTATTTCATTAAAATAAAATAATTTTTTACATTAAATTTACTAAAAACAACCACCTGAATCACGTATCAAGAAGTCGCAGTTCAAGTTGCGTTCGCGATCGATACAAAGTGTCATAGATTTGAAGAGTCGTTCAGAATTCAATAATAATTAATATTAGTTGTATCCTCGCACTGCATCATTTCGACCACTCTTGTGCCAGTGATCAGTGTTTGGGGCGAGCGGTTATTGTTTTCAATAAGCGAGCAAGTGGACGAAGGCGATTAAATTACTGTAGTTCACCGGTCGAAAATTAAGCGATAAACGGTCGATAAAAGCGGGAGGTTGGGCAAAATGAGTACTGTATTCTGCATTGACCTTCTCTGTCGCCCGTAAAAATGTTTACTGAACCAGCAATATAAATACAATTTAAAAAGTCAAGATATTGAGGGATAAAAGAATATTTTCTGAGATTACTGTGACAAAGAGGTAGTTTGAAGGGATATACAGAGCGGAGATTTCTGGGAGGAGCATGAAAAGGTATGTTAGAAATAGTATAGGGATAATCAAAAATATTATTAAGGCATTTATACAAAAAGACGGAGTCAAAGAAATTTCTACGATTCTACGAATTCTACGATTCTCTAATCTCAGAAGAGCAGTAGTTCGGCTCTAATAGGATGCTGTCGTGTAAACGTAAAAATTATGATGTATTTAAGCAATAACCCCCGCCGAAGTTGGGTATACCACTTGATATTGCACAATTCACTCCATATATGCACTTGCCTGCGGCTCGTGCATATATGTCGTGAATTGTGCAATATCTCGTGGTATACCCGCCTTCGGCGGGGGTTATTGCTATTTTATATTATACCAGTATATTGACAATTCGATAAAACTAGTAAAAAAAGAGTTTACTTTCATCTACTAAAAGATCATGATTATGGCACTTGAACATGAATATTTATAAGAATAGTATGTAGTTGTACGCTGAATGCATACAAAAATTACATGCGCAACACAGTTCAAATTGAATACAAACTAATTTTTATTCCACATGAAATAGAAACATATCCACGTTGAGTAGAGCAGCGTAAACACACAAATTAGCATAACAAAGGATGACCTTTCTGACCTTTTACTGACGCACAACGCGATTTGAAATACAGGGTCGTGTACAGTTTGGATCATTTAAACAACGGATTTTCCACGTTTTCATTCCAGTTTTTGTACAATTTGGACTGTAATTTTCCTAGTGAAAGTACAGTTGTGAAATAAACCGGTTTTGTGACTCATCATACTACTTGTAACTGTGGATATTTGACGTTCAGCGGTACTTGGTTCGACCGAAATTTGAGACGCGGCGGGACGCGGTGTATCATGTACGGCGACCGGCACAGCGACCTCAGTTCCAACATCTGACCTGGATACCTTTGGTATAACCAAAGTTTTGTGACAGTATGACTGACAAGTTTTGTCGTTGTTTTGGGGTAAGTTTGATGGTGTAAGATCGGATTTTCGCATCGTTTTTGTGACATGATATGCCTTGTCTCAACTCCGGCCGAAAGACTTTGCACGCCGTCGCTCTAATACAGTGGTTGGTGTACACTCGGCACAAATCTGTAGCTTTCGAAATTCCCTTCATCATCTCCTGTAATTTATTTACCCATAGTGGAGAATTACAATACCATATATCGTCGTCGAATCCTGCGTTGTCCCGTGTTTTTTTTGTTTGTTTTTTTAAACAGATGGCAATTACCCGGGTGCACTGCAATTTTGTCAGTTGCCGCTACCGGACATCGGTTGTTATTGGTGGCATACATTTTTGCCTGTGACTCATAGTTTTTTGCATTTTTATGTCATTAAATCCCTCAATTATATCTTGTACTTTAATAAAGATCATGTTTTCTTTGTTGGAAGTTCGCAATCCATCTCAAAGTAACAACACTGAGAACATAGCGTTCTGGCGTTCGTGTAGGCACCTCACGGTGTTGAGGGACGGTGGTTTAGGTTTGTGTGGCGAACGACAATCACCCAACGACCGACGCTCACAACTTGGATCCCACCATTAACAAAAAGCAATATTATAGTTATATAACTTTTCAGATGTTTTTAAT